CATTCCAAGGTTTCGCTCACATAGCTCAGCTCTACTGACCCAATGACAAGGCTCAGGTGGTCCATAGCCCTTCAGTGTCTTTGCCACACGGGCCAGGTTACACACTCAGCCCCTGCACTTCATTTTCCTGTGGTGGTCGTTAATTTTATTCAGGCCGCCGGTGCCTGGATATTGGTAAATGTTATTTCTGGATGTCGCTGAGTCGCTGGGGGTCACTAGAAACCCTGGTTAACGCAAATATCTTTTTATTCCATTTTTGTTTGTTTGGGTGCCACAACTAGTAACACTCAGGGTTACTGCAGGCTGTGCGCTCAGGAATGAACTACTGGAGGTGCTCCGGGGACCATATGGGATGCCAGGGGTCGAACCCGGAGTGCCCCCATGCAAGGCAAGTGCCGCACCCGCTGTCCTACAGCTCTGCCCCCTCATGCAAACATGTTGCAGCGAATGCTAATTTGCGTTTTGTGTCTCACAGCTAGTGTGGAGCTCAGTTCCACGCTTTGGTTTAGGATGGCTCTCCTCATCTTATTCTATTTCTTTATCTCCTGTACCTGATTAAATCCTACTTATTGTAAGGCTCGCCTTATTTCCCCCGAGAAACCTCTGCTGATCTGAATTAGTCTCATCACCCAGGCTAGGCTAGGCTCCTCTTTCCTGTTTTCTCTTACCTGGCAAACTTCTCCACCAGGAGCGCTGATCCACGTATTCGACTGCCCTCCCCTGAGCCCTTGAGACAAGCCCACCTCTGCGGCCGCGGTGCCCAAGCTCAGTTTGCAGAACTCAGGAACCACTGAGAAATGTTTGCTGGTTAATGAATCGGTGAGGGAATAGATGAATTGGAATTCATCTCTTGATTTGCAGCTAATTGAAGGAAGCGGGTCTGGCTGTTGTCACGGGTTAAATCACTGTTTTTTAAAAGGCAGTTTTCAAAAGTATATGCTCGGTTAGTGGTGGCTTACTGGTGTCATTTCTGTGTGCAGAACATGACTTTATTATTTTCACTCTGATTTTTAGAAATCTCGGTATACATAGAAAAGAAAAGAACCCCTTTTTGTACGTTTGTTTTCTTTCGGGGTCACACCCAGCAATACTCAGGGGTTACTTCTGGATTTGCACTCAGGAATTACTCCTGGCGGTGCTCGGGGGACCGTATGGGATAATGGGAATCGAACCCGGGTCAGCTGCAAGCAAGGCAAACGCCCTACCCGCTGTGCTATCGCTCAAGCCCCAAGAAAAGAACTCCTTTAGAATTTGTTTTATTTGCTATTGGACCTCAAATGCTGTATCTCAAGGTAAAATGTTTGTGGGATCATAGGAAGGATACGGTTACAGGCTTCTCCTTGCTTCTCTGAGAAAGTATTTTATCAAGATGAATTTTAATTTTTAATACCAGTATACGATTATTTGACTAAGGACATATTTTAAAATATGACCCTTCCCCAGGGCTGGAGTGATAGCACAGTGGTAGGGCATTTGCCTTGCGCACAGCCAGCCCGGTTGAGCCAGGTTCGATTCCTCCGCCCCTCTCGGACAGCCTGGCAAGCTACCGAGAGTATTCAATATGCCAAACACAGTAACAAGAAGTCTCATAATGGAGACGTTACTGGGCCTGCTCGAGCAAATCGATGAACAACAGGAGGACAGTTAGACAGACCCTTCCCCAAACCCGCCCAGTCCCAGGTGTTCCAGCCATGACGGGCAGGCAGCTAGGAATGATGTCACCCATTTTGCACCCTCACGCTGGGACAGGGTTCTCTCAGGATGACTGAACCCATCCAAATCTCTGACCGCTGAGAAGTGGAAGTTCACGGTCATGGGGAGAAGCATAGGTTTTCTACTGGAGTCATCTGGAAAGAATGATTGTTGCCAGTGCGTGGCTACCTCCAGCCGCGGTGTGACAGTTGAGAGCCCACGTGTTCAGAGACCCGGAGCTGTTTCGTGTTTTGTCTTGTTCTATTTCTCAAGCAGAGCTCTGCCCAGTTATTCATGTCTGCTCTGAGGCTGGGGCCCAGTTTTAAGGTCCTGCACCTTGTCAGTCTATCGCTAACCTACCGCAACTTATGTTCCCCTCAAATCTCTGCTATGGGCCATGAGCTGTCAGCTGCTCTGGTATTTTCACTCAATGACAGATGAGACCTGAAAGAGTAGAGGACAAGAACGACTGAGGGGGACTGACCAGGATGCTCCGTGGCTTCAAGGCAAAGAGGACCAGGAGATGGGGGAACAAGAAGGACAGACTAACAGATGCTTCCTTCTACTCCAGACACTTTCCTTTTCCGCAACCTGATTCCTGCTTCCCCTGAACTCCAATCCACACCCGCTTCTACCTCTCCCTTCTCATCTGGCTGGGGGATGCTTCATGCCTTGCAGCTGATGCTAAGACTGCTGAGAACCCCTGGGCCACTGTCATAGGCTCCTGCATCGTCATTACCCTTTCTGCCACCCACCCTCGCTAGCTACCAATGAGCTTGTGTAGCGTCCAGAGTCCTTATTTCCCCTGATCTCCGCCCGGCTATTATCATGATGTCCAGGTCACACCTCACCTCACCGGTGTGGAGCTATGCACCTTCTTCTATTTTATCAATTTTTACTTTCATTTTCCTCCAATGTTCCAGGTTCTTCCACTCTGTGGCCTGGAATGATTCTTATCCTTCCTCTGGTGCCCACAGGTCGGTCAGTCATACAAGAGATTAGGAACAGAGATTTGGCAATCTGGAAGGCAGCTGCTGCGGTAAGCGGACAAGGCATCGCAAACTGATTGAAAATGCACCTTCCGATTATGAATTATTCCTTAATCGATTTTCAGCATTTTAATGTCTTTTGGTTAAAAAAGTATCTACCGTAAGCATATTTCACTTTGGTATTTTCCACTATGAATTCACGAAATTGTTTTTGGAGGTTCTGGGGCCATACCGACTCTGCCCAGGACTCAATTCCAGGCTCTACCTCAGGGATCTCTCTTGGGAGACCCCTCAGATGGGTGCCGGGGACCAAACCCAGGTTGACTGCACAGAAGGCAAATGCCTGACCTGCTGCTCTTATTACCCATAATCAAACTTTCTTTACTCCACCTTTAATAAGCCATGAACCTGAAGAAATATGGTGTGATCAATAACGGAGACTTTTACTTGTAGGTTTAAATTCATAAACACTTTAAAAATATACTATCAAGGAATAAAGAATGTTTTCCACTTTATTTATTGTATTATCTTTTTAGTATGTCACTATTTTAAGTTGATCTTAGGAAATAGTGAATAAAGCTCTGTAATTTTGAGTTTCTCACATATAAATTCTTCAGAATATTAGCTTATGAGTTTGCGGCCCTTGCCATAAGTTTTATAACAATTATACACATGCTTTGAAAATAACAGCAAAATAATCTCCAGTGACGTTGTTATTATGGTGAGGAGAATCCTGAGGTGAGGTGAGGAGAGTTTGAGCTTGTCATGTTTAAGACTTTTGTAGTTCACAAATGCATTCCTTGGAAGCCCACAGTCTGTTTGACTTCCTCGTAACGCTCTCTTCTGCATAGCCCTTGATCAGGCAAAATATGTGTATTGAATTTATTAGGCAAAATGAGCTTGCCAGAGTTCAATGATTCTGTCTCAGGTGTGCAATGTTACCTCATCATACTAAGCACCAAAGTGGTTGTAACCTTTGCCCCTGTGTTTAGGACCTTTCTTCCACACTCGTGTCCCTGCCTTCCCTCCAACAAACTTAGTTCTGTCCTCCCAGTTGACCGTTTTCTGTATTTTCTGTCTAGAGTGGCGCTACATGTCTTGCTCCCTCTCACTTTGCTTACTCTGAAACCCTTCATTTTTGCCCCTATCATACCAAAAGCAAAGCCTCATCTTATCACATAGGTGAGGAATAGTCCATTGTGTAGATATACCACAACTTATATATCCAAACACCTGGCTCTGGGCACTTGAGTTTTCCCCCAGGTATTTTAACTCTTTGGTGGTCTCTATTAAATATAGACCTATAAATAAATTACATCTCTGATCTCTATAACAACAGGCTATTTTTCAATTATTCACTTGGTGGTACACGCACACATACACACACGTATAGTAGCTTAGGTTACCATGCTGTTACCTTTTATGATTTTATGTACAGAGTTATGGCCTCTTCACCATCTCACCAGAGGGCCCTTGTCCTTCACCACTGCCCTTCCTCAGTCCATTTGCTTAGTATTTTACATTGATTAGATATTTTAGTTTCAGTTCTTATCTCTCACCAAATGTAAGCACTCCAGTTTTTCCAGTTACCAAAAATATTCTCCAGCATGGTATGGCTGAAATTTCTTCTGACTAAGGTGCCTGAGAAATCAAGACTGGCTTCTGGATACTTGTTTATAGACTACAGTGTAGAATGAAAAATAAAGAATAGCTTTATGTTTTTACCACAGGACTTCCTCCTTCTAAGATTTTTTTCTTTGTAAGGTTGCTTCTAAAAGATGACTCCACAATAATAGCAACATTAGAATATTTTCTGTTTTGGAAAGAGACAGCTGGAGGCAGTTCCTCTTGTCGACCATGAACTTGCTCCCAGAGAGCAACACATCTCTGGGGAATCACATGGAATGATGAGACCGTCTCTACCTACAGAGGAGTAAATGTCCTGATCCCTTTGGAATAAATAGCTGGGTAATTCAGAGGACTTTGGAATGAGGTCTGTATAAATATTCTGGGACTTCATGTGTGTTCAATCCTGTTCTGAACCAGACATGACTTTGATCCTGTTCTGAACAAGCATCAACCTCCGTTTCCTGACAATGTTATTGGAAACTGAACCCACCACCGAGGACCTTGAGTTATCTCTACCGGCTTACTCGGAGTCATCAAAATACTCTATAATCCATAGCATTTAATTGAAAATTCTATGTCGCCTTTAAAGAAAAGAAGTTGACCGTTACTTGGCAATCAGAACTACCGTTATTGTGGAGATGGGGGGGGGGAGGGGAAGAGACTGGTCAGGCCACATGGACACAGACGTACCTTCTGGACGGCCGCCTGCGACTCCAGCACGTTGTTCTCGGACCCGTTGCTGCGACTTATCATGCGCCACATCTGGGCATACATGCTGTCCCGCTCGAAGGGGTTCATGCCCTTCACCCGCACGTGCTCGTACACCGCTGAGTCCAGCACTGTGCCGTAGGGGATGTCCGTCTGCTTGGACAGGTCCTGCAGAGACCTAGGCCGCACAGACAGAAGAGCGTGAGGAGCGTTGAATATGTTGGACAGGGAAGAAAACGTTTCAAGAGAAAAACAGGGAAAAATGCAATGTCAGTTGCACTGTGGCACTGTCCTCCCATTGTTCATGGATTTGCTCGAGCGGGCACCAGTACTGTCTGCATTGTGAGACTTGTTGTTACTGTGTTTGGCATATCGAATATGTCATGGGTATCTTGCCAGGCTTTGCCATGCGGGTGAGATACTCTCGGTAGCTTGCCGGGCTCTCCGAGAGGGACGGAGGATTCTAACTCGGGTTGGCAGGTCAGCCACATGCAATGCAAACGCCCTACCCACTGTGCTATTGCTCAGTATGAATGTCAATTGACTTTTAATTTTTATTCTTTCAGTGAAGTGAAATATTTTTTACCAAGACAAATTGAAAGAAGTGTGGAGAGGGGTAGGGAGAGTGAGGGCAAGGAAGATTGAGAGAGGGAGAGAGAGCGGGAGGGAGAGGGAGAGAGAGAAAACAATAGAGGGAGGCAGAGAGGAAGAGAGAGAGGGGGAGACAGAGAGACAGAGGGAGAGAGGGAGAGAGAAAATGACAGAGAAAGAGAGAAGTAGAGAGAGAATGGATTTCTTCCAGATTGGAATGTGAAATAATCAGAAAACAGAAAGGAATAACATATGTTCTATCATTTCTATGTTGTAAAGACATCTCCAGAATGGGAAAAAGAATCAGAAGAGAGAGAAAAATAAGTGTGCAAGAGAAATTATGGGTTTCTCCAGAACAGGACAACGCTATTATTTCTATTTTTTCCAAATAAATTTTGACTAATACAGAAAGTCAAACTATATAGGTTTTGTTTGTAGCATTATGGGCTGGAGCGATAGCACAGCGGGTAGGGCGTCCGCCTTACAAGCGGCCAACATGGCCCACCCGAGTTCGATTCCTCCGCCCCTCTCGGAGAGCCCGGCAAGCTACCGAGAGTATTCGATATGCCAGACACAGTAACAACAAAGTCTCCAATGGAGACGTTACTGGGCCCGCTCGAGCAAATCGACGATCAACGGGAGGGCCTTTACCTTTTACCTTTACTTTAAATCTATCCTAACAAGTTAAATTGCACCCTTTACCACACGCCTTTGACAAACTGGCTTATTCTCTTTTCCAGTAACTGCTAGGTTGTTTGCGTTTTGGTTACATCATTGACTTGACTCGTTTCTCTGTCTTATCTGAGTGACAATATATGGTGCATACTGTTTTAGGCACCCGAGGTTTATCGTGATGTTGGGAATAGCAGAATTGCATCTTATTTTTTAAAGAGTTAATAGTATGGCATTGTGTATCATTCACATCTTTATGCAAACCTTTGTTAGTGTCACTTAGGCAATTCTCAGAGTGATCAACAGCTTTCAAATGTGTATCTTCCCAGCTTCCAAGGCTATCTTGGAATTTTCTACTAACAAAAAGCTAATTCATTTCTATTTCCTTATATTTGCTTTAAGGGTGTGTGGGGTGTGTATATGTGAGTATGGCTTTATGTGTGGGTATTCTATTTTCACTCAAACGGAATACATTTTATGCTTCTCAAAACTTCACCATATTTTCTGCTACAATTTAGAATTGTAGAACAATGCTTTATGACTTAAAAAATTAATTGTTGAGTTACACACGGTACCTCCTTTTTTTCAGGTTATCCGTATTTAGATTGCTGCTTGATTTCCTTCTCTTTAGTTTCAGAGCTGGCTGACTTCCTTATGTGTTTAATTTCAAATGTGGAGAACCAATTACCACTTTACGGAAACTCAGGGAATTTGTATTGGTACCTCGCTCTAGTGACTGACATTTAAGAACAAATACGTGTCTTCCATACTCTTCAGAATTAGCGACCTCAAACTCAGGATGCCCTGGAAAGGGAGCAGATATTTTCTCAAGCACTATATTTTGAACAAGAATATTGTTCAAGCCTTTTACAAGGCGGATAATGAGTGTCCTGCTATGTACACCTTCGGGTTTTTACATGCTTCCTGACGGAGTTGGGTCACCATTCTCCAGGGGTTGATGCAACCCTGAGCACTGGGCAAGGGGGCAGGTGGTGCTCTTACAGGTCACCAAAGAGTAACGTGCAGAACAGGATTGTAAATTATGATTTATTTGCTAGAGGTGAATTTGTACAACTTGCAACTCCAACTTTTATCTGTGCTGAATGAATTTTATATTGCCGATTCATGTAATTTAGTCCACGTAAAATGCCCACTATAACTTCTTTGTGCTTTTTTAAGGACACATTGATGAAACATTAAAAGGAACAATTTGAAGGAGAAAATTTATGGAATATTGGACAGATACTGAATTCTACTGCTTGCAAAAGTAAACTAAAGGGCATCAGAAATGAGTAATTGAGGGCAAAGTCAGGGACCAAACTGAGCTCCAGGTGTCTAGGGTAGAATTTAATACTTGAGTAATAGAATAGCTGCTCCTGAAACAATTAATGGACTTTTTATAATTATCTTGGTAATAGTAGGGTGAGAAAACTTTTATTTCAAAGAGCAATTTCCTTCCATTTACTGCTGTTCAAATAGAACACTCCTTAAGTAATAAAAACTATGTAAGGCTCTAGAATTATAACATTTCCATGCTCTTTAGTTGAAGATGTTCACTTTAGTTGAAGTGGTAACTCAGAAGAAAGAAATTAACTCTTTGAATGCACACTGTGATAGCAACCCTGGGTACGCCTTCCGTTTCTGTAAACACAGGGCTCAATGTTACACCAGAGGGTAAAACCTGCATTTTCCCTACTGAGTTTTAAGTGTTTGTGCCACACCTGGTGATGCTCAGGACTTGCTCCTGGCTCTCTGCTCAGGGATCACACCCTGGTTGGCCTTGTGTAAGGTAAATGCCTTGGCTGCTGTAGGCTTGTATTTTCTGAAACCCTAAAAATCTACAGCTGGAGAAGGCCATGCTGGTGTTCTTCAGAAACCAACCAGGATAGATCACTCACTTTTTGGCTGGTATTTTTTCAATATATTGTTTCCTTCTGTTTATTAAAATTTTTTCACCCATATTATAAGCATTTTATGGCTGTTAATCTTAATTATTGCTCTTAGAAGACTTTAGTGGTGGTGAAACATTCATTTAGGAGATTTAAAATGAAAATATAGGGGCTGGAGCCATAGCACAGCAGGTAGGGCATTTGCCTTGCACACGAACGACCTGGGTTCGATTCCCAGCATCCCATATGGTCCCCCAAGCACTGCCAGGAGTAATTCCTGAGTGCATGAGCCAGGAGTGACCCCTGTGCATCACCAGATGTGACCCAAAAAGCAATAAATAAATAAATAAATAATATGAAAATATAGAATCTCTTTGTAGAAATAGTCATATTAGTAAAATAGTGTTAGCTTCTGTAAAAGGAAAATTCAAGCCAAATGTTGGAATAATGCTTCTGTCACATAAAATCACCTTAAATACCAGCTTGCCGAACAGCACAGAATTATAATACAAATATTTACTGGTCAGCATACATTTTTATAAAGGAATGCATTAGTATATTGCCTATGTGAATTTTCTTATGTCAGAAAGATCTTTAATTTCAAGATAGTTAAAATTTAGAATATTTAGAAGAGCAGAGCTTTGTATCTTAGAACAAAGGCAGACTCTCTAGCTTTATTTCTGATTAGAAGTTCAGCTTATAAATTGGTTTCAAGATATGCTGGCAGTAAAAATTACAGCTTGTCTGATTCAGGTTGGTTCCATTATCATACACCAAGATAGTAGTAAAGGTGACAAAAATATAATGTAGCAAAATGAAGTTAGCGCAAATAACTTATTGAAGAAAGAAAAGGCTGTTTTAGTAGACTAACAGAAAAGGACTGCCTATGATAGGTGATCATTTTGTTATTTTTATGCTAATAACATTTTAGAAAGAGCTGCAGAAATGCTATGGCTGACATTATGAGGAACTCTAGAAAATTATTCTGCAAATTGTATCTCCAAAAATTATGTAAGAAGGTCAGCATCTGAGTGGAATAGATATTACTCAGAAATGCAAAATCACTGTTTTAAAGTACAAACAATTCTACAATATCAATGGTTACATAACATAAACATTAATGTATCATGCAGATTTATATTTTAGAATTAGTTTAGGTGATATGGTTACTGCATACGACCACCACCAAAGTACTCATGAATTTTCACTCTGTTTTAGGACATAGATTTTTTTTTTTTAACAATTGGCAGTGTTTACCAGTCCACAGAAGAAATGGTAAAAATCTCGGGCATTCTATAACAGAATAAAATCAGAATATACTCACATTAAGGCATTCCATTTGCCTATGTGCTACACAGAGTCAAGGTCACCTTGGACACTGTCTCCCACGTCCACATGCCAAATTCTGCATGCAGAGTTAAGCCGAAGTGAATCCCAGCCAGATGGAAAAATGAAACAGCACAGAAATGGAAGGGCCACAGGTGGGCCCCTCAGGACTGCAGGGCAGGAAGCACTCCTAGTCCTCAGGGAGACTCTGCATGGAGTACCTCAGGTCACACAGCAGTGCAGCCACGCCCTGGACTCAAGGAGAGGGGGTCCACCCTCGGGGGACAGGGACGCTGTGAGAGTGTGTGGAGCTCCCACACCCAAGGACGGGGCGAAGGGGAAGAGAGGCCCCGAACCCAGACCAAGGGAGACAGCGCAGCTCAGCACCGAAGACTGCGTGGAACTGGGGTGCAGAAACTCGACACTGCGACACAGTTGCTGCCCAGACACAGAGCCTGGGTTTGGGAGATGCAGGAGGCACCAGGGAGCAGCAAACTTGGGGGAAACCATCAATAAAGAAGTGATGAAGGGAAAAACCATGAAAAACAAAGACATCAGGAGTTATGGGATAATTTTATGAGGATAACATTCAAGTTCTAAGTATGGAGGCAGAGGAGGGGATAGGGAAGGACTGTCGGTCAAAGACATTCTAGCAGAAAACTTTCCCCATCTTCTGACTGAGTCATTGATACTCATCATG